CGCATGGCATGGCATGCCCGTTGGCAATGGGTTAACCCCAAGTCACCAGTAATGGCTCCACAAGCACTTAGCCACAAAAGAGTCAATTAGTAGACCTTGTAATCTCACATGATTCCTCCTTTGAATTTATGGATATATATATATATATTTACTTATTTATTTATTTATTTTTTACTAATGCTATCTGTATCGATGCTGTTATCATTATTATACACTGTAATTATCATAATGTTATTGAAATTACTAACAGTAATATAAGATAATATATTTACCAAAATCAAGGAAAAGGGTAAATAGATGAGATAGGTCGTACTTGTAGTTGGGTCATTGATGACTTGTACTTGTGGAGCCATATATGTGTAAAGACAATAAATAAGCTAAATTCACAGTGGGTATGGCACTGGGGTAATGGACTGTGGATTTTGTTTTGTTATTTGTACAGTAGACAATTAAATAAAGTTACTGTAAAGATTGCATACAGTGGTCTAAAACCATTTGACTTATGCTATATTTGTTACTAAGAAATTGACACAATGCTTTCCGTATTTAGATTTTTATTACTAATATATATGACATGTATATGAAGAAATTTAAATAATCTACTTACATCCTAGTCAAGTCTTAATTTACAAAGAACTAATCTTTGTTTCAGTTTGTGATTTATGTTAATGATCATCGTCCTTAAATTGAGAAATAACAGTTTACACCTAAGACAAAAAATTAATTATTTTAATGGCAAGCAGTACCATTTAAAAGTTGCACTAAACTCCTATAACTATTCCTTTCTTCCAAGTTCTCAATGCATGCTGCCACATCTGACATGTATAGACAATTATCTTTGCAAAACAATTACTTGTCCATGGGATTCTTCACAGGTGATACTTCAGGAATACTGCGAAATAGACAGGAGACCAAAGAACACAGGATTAACATATATTTTGATTTTTAGAATTAAGTTCCCTGAATTTCTATTTACAATGTATTCTAGAGCTTCAATTGTATATGTTGAAGACTTACCTTGCAAATTTTATAAACATTCCCTAAAAAAGTAGTTTTCCTTCTATCAAAAAATAATATCTTAAAATTAATGTATAAATATTTAAAATTTACTTTGTTGTGTTTTAAAGACATGTGTTTCAGCACTTGAGAAACTGCATCATTTGGAATAAAAACTGCAAGAATTTTAGTAATGAAGCCTCATTAAGGTTAGGTTTACCTTTCATTGCATTCAAGAACTTCCAGTTTTCTGTGGAATAGATTTTTTTCTGTATTAATTAAAAGTTTCTAGAAAAAAAGACAATAGTGATTAAATTGCGTTTGGGGAGAAGTCTTAGTGTATCATGCACAAAGTGGAAAAAATGGCTAAGTAAATCATTGTAGGATTTTAGAGAAAAACATGCAAATAATTGTATGAAAATTAATATAGACAAAGGGAAATCTGTCATATTTATTATTTCAGCTATATCCATAAAGATACAGAAATATGTACAGAAACAGTATAATCATAAGGTTATATAATGAATACAGAAATAGAATAATCATGAAGTCACATCTTGTAAACATTAAACTAGAACTAGCATCTTGAAGAAGAATGAATTTTATTTGACATGTATTTCATGTAAGACAGCTCTGTTCAACAAGAGGAAATGCATGTAAGGAAGAAATGTATTTAGGGGGATTTGTTCTTCATATAATACACATATGGCATCACAGCAAATACACAAGACACAAGTATCAAAATAACATTTAAATGTATAGTTCATTTTAGCCAACAGTTTGTTGTTGATTGTGAGAAAGCAACTACATTTGATGAGTATTTTGTGGTAACAACACTGAAGTGTGTTAAAAAAGGTATTTTCAATGAGTATTGCAAAAATGCTTTCACAACCTGTGAGCAATAAAGTTGTTCATATGCTTTTTAAAATCTAAAATATAGAGATTGAGTACATACTCTTATTCTACTATTTTTTTTATCTTTGTATGTTACACAAATCAAATTAAAAACATCCACATCAAATATACAGTGAAAATAGGATACAGCATAAGGCAGTAACCATTTGACTGACAAACAAAAATAATACAAAAAGTAATAATAGAAAGATCAAGTTCACAAGGGAATAATACAACTATACCCATCAAGAACTTAATAAAGAAATAAGAACAAATTCTGCTAGGCAAGATTTACCAAGTAGTAGTAATACTAACAGTAACAATGATGGTGATGATAATGATAATATTAATAACAATTAGTATTACGGTTATTATTAGGAGAATGTATTTGCTAAATCTTGCACCTTGAATCTATTAGCCGGAAGTCAAACCATCTTAAATAAATCAACAGAACAGAAAATAATCACATGTCACAGAGAGAGAATGGTTAAAAAAAAGAAAAAAAAAGATAAGCGCATGCAAAACTAGACTAAAACAAAAAAAATAAATATCAAATCACTCGTAGGACGAATTGGACCTAACGTGCACCTGCGAATAAGTCCTGCCATCGATCACCAGAACGTCTTTGGAACGTTTCTCAACCTCGATGTTTTCGGGAAGGGCGTGGAGATCGTGGGCATAGGGCGCCGGTCCGATGAGGCTGAGCAGGACGGGGAGGAAGACCAGTCCGTGGAACACTCCGTAGATGAACACCCCGAAGAAGATCTGGAAAATTTGGAGGCTGGGTTGGGAGGGAATTTCTTTGGGGTGTGGGGGTAGGTGTTGGGGCGGAAGTGCGGGTGGAGAGGGAGGGAGGGAGGGAGGGAGGGAGGGAGGAGAGAGGGAGAGGAGGGAGGGAGGAGGGAGGAGGGAGGGAGGGAGGAGGAGAGAGAGAGAGAGAGAGAGAGAGAGAGAGAGAGAGAGAGAGAGAGAGAGAGAGAGAGAGAGAGAGAGAGAGAGAGAGAGAGAGAGAGAGGGGGGAGAAAGAGAGAAAGAGGAAGAAAAAGGGAGGTAGAGTTCTCGAATAGTGCATGTCTACCTGTATATACATCTACGGTAATACGAACACTAACATATAAAACTACAAACCTTGAAAAACGACTCAAACACGTGAGAATCCGAATTGGCGAGGAGGATGAACGCCAGGAACGTAGAGAAGGCCCCGTTTATGACCGCTGGACCCATCTCTTTCACCGTCCGTTGAACTCGTTCGTCTCTCGTTCCTTTCACCTAAAAAAGACAAAACGGGGTATTTTTGGGAGAGGAAGAGGGAGGGAGAGAGAGAGAGAGAGAGAGAGAGAGAGAGAGAGAGAGAGAGAGAGAGAGAGAGAGAGAGAGAGAGAGAGAGAGAGAGAGAGAGAGAGAGAGAGAGAGAGAATCAGATAGAGAGAGTGGAAATAAGTAGAAAGAAAAGCAATCACAAAAATATACTATGTGCGGAAATAATAAATAAATACAAAACTAAAACTAAAAAAAGGACAACAAAATATACAACCAAAAGCCAAATCTCACGCAATAAAACACGTAGAACACATTTCGTCCCATAATACCTGCATAAAGTGTAGCGCTATGTGTACCGAGTAGTCCACACAGAGGCCAATGCAGAGGACCAAGTTGATGCAAGACACAGTGTCGATAGTCAGGTCCCACCAGGTCATCAGGGCCATGACATCGACCTGTAAATATGAGTGAACTTAAATTTCAGTTATTATCATTAGTAATAACACTATTATTATCAGCATTGCTTCATCACTAACTGAAGTGATCATACCTGTTTAAATATTTACCATTAAACAATAAAAAACAAACAAGACCCATTTAAAATAACAAAGTAATGGAAGAAATACATAATTATAAGCTGTTTTACTCACAAGGGTAAGCAAAACACACAAGAGTACATAGATTGAAGACACTATGTTGGCTATGAGGATGAGCGTCATGACGAACACTGCCACCAACGCCAGACAAAGGTTTCGAACAAGTTCAAATGCGATGATTTTATCCGTTTCCCAACTACTGTACATCATGGCGATCGGGGCTGCGAAATCTGGTGAGAGTATGGATAATAATGAATATGTTTATCACACACACACACACGCACACACAAACCCACATACACACACACACGCACACACACACACACACACACACACACACACACACACACACACACACACACACACACACACACACACACGAATTCAATTCAATTTCGCTAGGGCTCGGTAAGGAGGACGAAGGAAATAGCCTTCGCCTTCCTTAACACGAATATTAGTATGCTGTTCCTTGCGCATCCTCATTCGAGAACTATGTGCAAGGAAACGATGGAAGCTGAGCAGTGCGACACATCTGAGGCATCAGGAGTCTCCAGCAACATTAAGCCCTGCTGTGTTCTTAGGTAATTCCCTGTGTATTTCACGTTTAAATGTGTGCCATAATGCTAGAAAGTCCACCACTGCTTCTCACCCAGGCTTAGGAAGTGCAAGCAAGGATGACGCCGACCTCCTTGCCTGCTTTTCCTACATCACCGACCCAAGTCCAGTGATGTAAGTCAGGGCACTAGTACTAAGAGCCAGGCGTGATCAATCTCTGGAACTTTGCAAAATCCTGGAGGAGGCGGTAGTTATTTCTACTTACAGCTCCTTAGCCAAAAGCGCCAACAGATGTCCTATAGGCAGCTAGATCACAGTCGGGCACCATAATGAGGAGTTAGTCTGGCACAGAACATTTTTCATGTCAAATTTACAAAGATCGGTAGGAGCAAACATAACAATAAAAGACAAGAAGCCAAATGGGTGCTTCAGTCACAAAATTAGTTAATTGACGGTGGCCTGAGTAATAAAAAAGTAGTCACCTCCACTGCCTGTGTTAGTAGATCTGCATCTCAGTGTTAGTAGATCTGCATGACAAAATGCTTTGAAAATTCATAATTCAGTGTAAATGCCAGGTGCCACTGATTTTATTTTAAATGAATTGCAACTGTTGATTTGACTAATAGATCTTCCTAGTGACTTATAATCAAATAAGAGACTAGCTCAAGCTCCATTTTGTCAGACCATAAGGGGTTATGATTTTTTCGTTGTTTTATTGGTGCCTGGTGTTATTTACGATATTAAAGTAGCAGGCTGATACCGGTTTTGAAAATATTTCGTTACGTCTGATCGAATCTAAATATATCGAAAGCCCAAGATCTTTTAAAGAGTATGAATACCTTCCACCCAAAAGGCAAGATCCTTCCCATTTCGATCCTCACCTGAGAAATTTGCGCTCTTGACCAATTCCTTCGTCTGGTCCATCGCTGGAATTTGCTCAGCTGGTCCATCCAGAGATCTGTGGCTATAGTCGAATTTGCTGGCCTAGGAAAACGAAGGAAAACAAGGATTAACAGAAGAAGGAAGATATAGGGGAGAGAGAAACGCGAGAGAAGTAGAAGAGTGAGGATGAATAGCAGAGGTTGGAAAATGAGGAAGAAGGGGGAGGAGAAAGCGAAGACAATGGATAATTTTGTTTAATAAGGAAAATGAAGAATTAGGTGATCAAGAAAAAGGAGTAAAGAAGGGGAAAAGAAAATAATGACTATTGAAAAAATGCAGACACATCTATATTCACATCATAGCTATACAGTATACAATTACGTATACATTACGTTACGTACTGTTAATCGTTCTTGAGGTTTATGCATGAAACGACATTTACTTGCCTAAACATCCTCTACATATCACACAGTACACTACAGTCTTCTTAGATAAATAGAAAATTCTTATTTACTAGTTTGTTTTAATCCTTACTCCTCGTAAAATAAACGAAATAGTGGGCAAAATTTTTAAGTACTGGAAAAAAAATAAGAAATGTACAATGGAATAGCAAGACATCAAATAAAGACTAAAACAAAATAGAAAATAAAGGAAATAACAACAAGCGGAAAAAAAAAACTTACGAGTATCGGGGGTGCAGGTTGCATAGCAGTTAAATTGCCGTCGAAATGAAAGTAGTTTTGGAAGCGAGAGCCTGATGGGGAATACAGGAAATCCGACATGGCCTTGTTGAAGAAACTCTCGTTCAGTGACTGCCCGGCGATGTCTGCAAGGAAGGGTGATGGTGATGGTGGTGACGATAAGTAGGATGATGATTGTGATGGTGGTGTTGATACGAAAAAATTTAATAACATATTTCATATCATAATCAGATACGGAGAAAGAATTGTTCTTATGCAGTTTTCCGATCTTTAGTATTTAAGAAAAATACATCACAGTTGTTTTAAACCTCACTTGCTAGACACCAGTAAAGCATTAAATTTTCTAATTATCCACTTTAATCATCATAGTCCACGCATAATAAAATCGCTCCCCCAGGAACGATAGTACAAAGCCTATTCCCCCCTCAGAAACAAAAAGAAAAAGAATACCATCTACCTTCACCAATGCTCTTGTTGGTATAGTCAATCATGAGGTCATACCAAGAATCTACGAAGGAAATGTACTCATTCTCTCTCATGGACTCAGTCAGGTACCCAATCTTCGGCAGTTCTTGGGAGTAGTTCAAGGCGCCCAAATACACGGTGCCTCGTTCGCCTAAGAAAGGAATTTTCTTAGACCTTTGCCTTTTATGTCAGTTTTATCTCTCTTATCCGCGCAGTTAATAAATTTTGATAGGTAGCTGTTGGTATTGATATATTGTGTAAATATACAGAAAATTACACAAATTATGAAATATGGATAGGTCGCGGAAATACAGATAGATGGAAGTTGATAAATATACATATAGAGAGAGACAGGGATGCATCACAACAAAAATGTAAAATTTTTACAACAAAAATATAAAATATAATCACAACAAAAATATAAAAATACAGTTGGATGTAGATACAAAAATAGCTACTTTACAGATATAAATGGCATAATATGAAACTGTAAACCACTGATGGCTTATATAAATAAATTTACACACACGAATATATATTGAGTTGTGTGAATCCCCTCTTTCATATCGGAGAGGAAAATTAGACTGATAGATATAAATATATAATGGAGAATTAAAACGTAATACGAAATGATAAAACTACTTATGGGGTTAATAAATATATATTTTCTAGATTTATATATTAGTAAAAATAGATTAATAAATTTTTTCACTCGCGTTTGCCTTACACCCTCACCTGCTTCTGGGTAGTAAGTCTGGGCCCGAGACAGAAACTGGAAAAGGTATGAAGACTGAGGGATGAACCAGACGGGGTTGAATTCCTGCCTCAGGTTCGTGACGCCCCAGATACTCGTGCCCAGTAAGACAGCCGTGACGACCAGTACGAGAGCCTGTTGTATGTCAGACGTTGAGAGATTAGGGTTAGGTTAAATTTTTATTTTATTTTTTATTTTTGTTCTTATTTGTAATATGATATAGAAATGGGATGAATTGCAACCACATTGATATGATAATGATGAAAACAAAGAAAATTTGTAATATTACTTAGAAATGAGATGAACTACAACCACATTGATAATATGATGATGAAGATGAAATCAATAAAAGTAATGTTAAATGTGTTAAAAATTTAAATTAAATTGTTTATGGGGACAATATTCTTACAAGGAGGAACAGGTTTAGGATTTTTTTTCTTGTTATTCATTTAACATTTCTGTAAGGAATTCATATTTTTATATCTTTATAGTAATAATTATTAGTTATGCTATTCCTCAAAGTAAAGGTAGACTTATGGGTCTATTTTCTTTAAGTTGTATTGTTAACAGTATTACTAAAAATACTATTGGATAAAACGACAAAAACAAGACTACATATACACCAACGGCAATACCCAAGAAGTTTATTTACAGTTTCCTTTGCTTGGTTAAATTAAATTTCTTTTGCTACAGTCATTGCCGGATTTATGTATAAGCTAGATACGCTATAGCTTGGGGCCTCGCATTTAGAGACCGCATTAGTTTCGATGACCTTCCAGAATTTATTGTGTATTGCATCTGTGAGGTGTTCTTTATATTAGTCAACGGCATCACCGTTTTCAAGTTTTACAAGACCTTTATATACGCACTTTACACGACCCTCCAAGCTTCTCATAGCTAAGGATTTCGCCAAGTCTAAAACTGGCAATGTCAACGTTTTTTTCTCTGCCATTACATCTACACCATATCTCCCATGCAAAATTCCCCATACTCCTACCTTAACAGGTTTCTTCAGCAGGTACTTGGAGTAGATCTTATCGAAGAACATTTGGCACAGGTCGTACTGGGAGCATTTGTTCGGAGTCCAGTTCTTGTGTTTGTAGCACCAGAAGAGTCCGTTGCGATGGTCTTTTTGAAGTGGAGTAAATAAGGTTTTTAGAGTTCAGTTTTGAAGGGTTTAAGTTCATTTTCGTGTGTGAGATTTGTGTCTTGGAGATGAAATTCGCTTTTTTGGGGTGAGTATTAAAGTGAAGATGTATGGTTTAGCTTTCCTTCAAGGGAAATGCGTGGATTAGTGGTGTGATACGGGGTTTTGAGGTGAGATTTGTGGTTTCTGCTAAGTGTAATTTGATGATTGGAAGCGTGGGTTTAAGATTTTTTATTCATATTTATTGGATAACCTTTTTTAATTCCAAAAAGTTTGTAATCCTAAAGGGATAGCGTTTTTTTTCTTAATATGCAATATCGAATATTAATGATAGAATTAGTGACTTTAAAGGATATCTGCAATCGAAGAGTCAAGCTTCGTAATATCCATATGCGAGATTCGTAACGACACTAATGAAATTGACATTTTTAACGTGAAATGTGGAATCGTGAAATGTGCTTCTCAACAAGCCTTTAAGAGAAGAAAACTAAAACAAAAAGTAAAAATTAATAGTTAAAAATTCCTACCTTCGAGACGGCTCTGGTCGAGGGTGAACCAGGCGACGAAGAAGGTGGCCTGGAGCATGTACAGGGCAACCACACCAAGGGCGGAGTAGATGCAGAAAGACCGAAGGGCTGGCAGGACCTGTGGTTGCAAATGTGGTAATCGTTTCTTTATACTTACTTTATTTTGCTTTTTTGTTGGTTTTGTATTTGTTTTGGTTTAGGTTTGTGATTAATGTGATTAATCAAACTCCCAATCTCACTTCTCTCTTTCACCCTCTATACCCCGGCCTTCTTTCTTCCTCCCCTAAATATTCACATCCTCTCTCTTACTTTCTCCCTCATCCTTTTCCTCTATCCCTCAGTCAGAAAAAAACACCCGAAATACTACACAGACACAGCTTTTGCCGCTTCAAGACTCACGGTCGAGGCGCCGATGGTGAAGGCAGCGAAGTCGGTGAGGGAGGTGACGGTAATGGCTACCCCGGCGTGACGAAGCGCGCACCCCATTCTCTTCTTGAGCTCTAGTCTCTTCTCCTGCGGGTTGGTGAGAGGTTTGTTTAGTTGCGGATGACTGTAATGTGTATTTACTGCATGGATGGAGTGATTGGTAACAGGCTTCGTTACAGAAGTTGAGCGGGATGTGTTCGAAACCGAGTCTGGTTTGGTTTCGAAACAGGTCTCATGTTTTCTTGTTTGTTTGTTTTTTATTTCCTTTATTTGCTTTCTCCCAATTATTTGCGCTTATTTCACACTCTGTTTCCAGTTACGAATTCTGATTTCTTAAAATGTGCTCCACTCACCTCATGGCTGAGATTCTGCCAGCACTGGACAATAACAAACATGTCATCCACTCCTAGACCCAGCATAAGCAGGGGCAGGATAGAGTGCACAGGACCGTAGGCAATCCCGAAGGCGGAACAGAGGCCGAAGGACACCCCGACGGCCATGAAGGTAGCCAGAAGGCCGAGTAAGGAAAGGACGGGCTGTTCGGGAAATATAAATGGAAGATATTATATAGGTATTTAGCTAGTTCTCCGTTTTGTGTGACTCCTCTCTCTCTCTCTCTCTCTCTCTCTCTCTCTCTCTCTCTCTCTCTCTCTCTCTCTCTCTCTCTCTCTCTCTCTCTCACACACACACACACACACACACACACACACACACACACACACACACACACACACACACACACACACACACACACAAATTCACTCGATGGATATAATGCTTAAAAAATGTAATAATAAAATTAATAATGATAATGATAATAATAATAGTAATAATAAAAATAATAGAGATAATAATAATAATGATAATCCTAATCGAAAAATGGTGATAATGATAATAACAATGATAATGAAGATAATAATGATAATCATGATAACAGCAACAAAACAATAAACATCATTATCATCAATAACAAAACTACGAAAAATAACAAAAAATCAAACAGATAATGATAACCAAACAACAAAGATGATAAAGCAAATAACAACATTGACAACAATAATGGTAATAATAACAATAATGATGACGATGGCGATGATGATAACAATAACAACAAAACAACAATAATAATCATCATAATCTTAATCAGAAATGCAATGTATATTTGATGGAAATTCAATCGTAATTTCAAATATATCTTATATGCAATCAAGTTATTAATTCTGTACACTTGCCAAAATAAACTATTTATCCACACCAACGACATAATCATCATTAACAAAAAATATCACCATCTGAACTTAAACTCACCCTAGTCTCGACCATGTTGAACTTGCCAAGCATCAGTTGCACGTAGACAAACAAGATAATATCGCCTATAACGAGGAAGGCAACATCTCCCAGGATTGTTTCTCCGCTGATTTCGCCAAAACTGAGAGAAGAAATAATTATGATTTGTAATGGTATATAGAGACAGGATATTAAGATGTGGCCAAATAGGGCTTGGTGACAATTTATAGTATGTATATTTTCACTAATTTCTTCGAAACTGGTATTGAAATGTGAAATTCATTACGAATACGTGCAATTTATGTAGTAATTAGATGCTGTGTAAATCGTTTTAACACGGTTGCATAGACAACATATTAATGATATGGCAAGTTTTCTATGTAGATGTGGCATTCAGAAACAATCTGTTAATATCAACCAAGGTGCCTATATTATCTCAAAAATATAGGCAGCTGCGTATGTTAATAATAGAGCCACTTATTTAACATTAAATAACATGACCACCTGTCTTTATTAATCTACTCAAAACCTTGTAAACAGGACTAACCATCCAACAAGTCAAAGAAACAACTTATTTACTTATCATGTAAATCCTTAGTTCTTACTATCTTCGTAAAAAACATGCCAAGCTAAGTACCTATTTCCCCGTCATTCATTCTCTTACTTCTTACCTTCTTTGCGCCTGCAGGTATACCTCAAGTCCCTCCGGCCGGCCAGTGTCGTTCCGAAGAAGGGAGATGAACTCGCCCTCCCAGTCGTATAACGCCATGTCCACCTGGAGGGAGCGGGGGGGGAGACGAAAGAAAAACTTCAGGTGTGGTTGATTTACAAAATGATATATAAATTTCTTTCTCTCTCTCTCTCTCTGTCTCTCTGTGTCTCTCTCTGTCTCTCTGTCTCTCTCTCTCTGACTGTCTCTCTCTCTCTCTGTCTGTCTGTCTGTCTGTCTGTCTGTCTGTCTGTCTGTCTGTCTCGTTTTTTTCTAGTATATTCTTACATGCTTTAAACACACGATACATAGAGATAAAGACAATAGCCTACATTTATGCTAGCAAGGGTAAAAACCAAAAGCCAAATTTACACTTTATTATCATATAGCAACACACAGTTACTAATCTCTCTATCAAAGATATTAGACAAGAAAATATCCCAAATTCACCTCATCAGCTAGTCCAGCGTCGTTCGTCAACATCCCCAAGTCAATCTCTGTGCGGTTGATTCTCATGACAATCTGGGTGAGTGTTGTTTCAGCGCCGATCACTAGTCCAGAGTCGTCTCTCTTTATACCTCCCAGAAAAGCTTGGAAATCCATGGGGTATGCGTAGGTTACACTGGAAGGGCATGATTTCTGGTTATTTTCCTGTCTTTTGTTATTCTGTGCACGTGTTGGTTTATCTGTAGTAGTGTTTATTGAAAATCTCTCTCTCTCTCTCTCTCTCTCTCTCTCTCTCTCTCTCTCTCTCTCTCTCTCTCTCTCTCTCTCTCTCTCTCTCTCTCTCTCTCTCTCTCTCTCTCTCTCGTTTTGATTATTGAATTTTGAATTTGAATTTACATGACGATGGGGAGCCTCGAAAGACACCAAGGAGCAATAATAGCAATGTTAACGAGCAAAGATTCTTAACGTTACGCACCGGGAAAAAAGACGACATAACGTCAGCAGTAACATTGTGGTATGATTAAAACTTGGGGTTTCGCCAAAGTTCGTTAAACTTCTTATTAATTATAGCAAGAAGACAAAACTAATTTGTATTTTTAGAATATTTTATAGGTAAATATTTGTGACAAAAATAGGGCATTGAATGTATTTCTTGCATATTTATATTATTAAGCTATGTGATGACAATTATATTAATATTAAAACGTTATTTTTAGTAGTCAGATAAGACGAAATGAATTATTCATCTCAGACATCGTTATTTTTTCAGTTAGAGAATAAAGTCGGCGTACAATTTATTCCCACTGAAATCTTTTTCTGTTTACTTCAGTCATTATCTAAAATTCACTTAGGGGAACATTCCATATATTACAATCGTGTTTGAACAAACTGTTCAGAATTTATTATACCCTTTTTCATGTACTTCTACTCCGAAAGCCTAGTGTTTTATCGCTTTCTCTGACCTAACCCACGCTGTAAAAAATAATGTGTTATGTAAGTGTCATAGTGACGTAATGTCTCATTAGTCGTTTTTAGTGTTACTGTGCCTTATCTTTGTGTTTTGTAATCCACTGATAAAACTGTCTGGGGAATGTATATTGTCTGGCCATATAAAAGAGCTTAAAATTGAAAGATAATGTTAATGTTGAGGAAATAAATATTGGCCACACTGAAAGGTTATAATGCTGATTATAAAAAAAACAGCTGTAACACCACTACGAACAATTGTTATTGTTTAAATACAGGCACTATTTTTACTATTAATGATAATGATAAAGATAATTACTATTATTATTATATATTACTGCTACTGTTATCATAATTTTTGTATAATAATGCAATTGTTATTGTTATTACTCTTGTTAGAACTACTAAAACTGCTGTTAATATTACTTTTATATTGTTATTGTTATTCTAATTATTTTCATCATTATCATTGTTGCTGTGGTTGTATCAATATAACAGTAGCTGTTTTCACCCTCTGTTATTATTATTACTAAATCATTATTCTATTACAATTACCCATTGCCATTACCCATTACCATTATCATTATCAATATCATTATCATCATCATCATCATCATCATCTTTATTATGTTACTGCTGCTGCTTCTCTTCCTCTTACCGACGGTAATCATTGCTTCTTTATTAACATGCAAGATTTTGTGCATGGTGATATATATCTGGTATTCAGTGGCATAGACTGGATAATTTGTCTAGGGTATTTTTTTTATCTCGGTCTCTTATCGCTAACCCCTTGCGTAACAGTAATTGTAACACTGTTATGTAATCGTTATGAATACTTTCAGTTGGTTGTGTAATTATTATTATTATTATTGTTATTATTATTATTATTATTACTAATATTATTATTATTATTATTATTATTATTATTTTATTATTATCCTCATCATTGGTATTATCATTACCATTATTGCTACTGTTATCATCATTATTATTATTGCTACTGTTATCATCATTATTATCATTCATTTCTTTACTTATATGTTTTATTGAACCTAACTTTTTCTCTGTCTCACATCTCCATCTCCATCTCTTCTTACTCTCACACCTCCATCTCCTTCTCCTCCTTCCCTCACGCCTCCTATCACCATCTCCTTCCCTCATGAATGCCTCATATACCATCTCTTCCTACCTCATGTTCGCCGTGTTGATCTCATGCAATACCTCCTCATCTGTAAGGTCTGCGATTGCCTGATCATCATTCCCCCAGATCTCAAGGATGCTGAATTCGAGGCAGTCCTTGGGCATCTTCTCGTAGAACTGGTAGTAGATGGTCTTGTCGAAGGCCAGAGACCAGTCGAAGTCCTCGTTAGGGTCTCGGTCTGGGAAGAGCTTGCGCTTGATGTCCCTGAGTTCGTCCTTCTGGGTTCCTCCGAGGGCTGGGACTCTAGGGGGGGGGATTGGGGTTATGGTCGTTTGGGTTATTTAGTATTTATATAACTTGTACCGTTTTCTTCTCTCACTTTGTTCTCTGGTCGTGTACTTACTCGAAGCATAGATCTTCTTGGGTAACGTTTTCGCCGCCTCTGTTTTGCACAACGATAGCTCGTAGTTCCTTTCGCAGTCGATACATCTGTTATTGAGAGACATGAACGTAATTATTACCCATTTAATATAGAATGATACAACATTTAGTAAAATAAGGGTGTGATAATGTATTGGCGATATGTTAAGTCATATAGGATCTTTCTACACTATTATTTTTTTCAGACGGAACTATGGTAATTCGCACTACTATCCATATAAGCAAACGCAGATGTACATGCACACTTCCGGATACACAGACACACATACACATTCCTGCACATACATTTTAATAAATATTAACTCAACACACACATAACAGATAAAAATTCACATGTGCAAATCGATATATACACATTCTCACGTATACACACAAATCGTCAAGGCCTCATATAAGACTTTTTGAAATCTATCCAGGCACACATTCACACGATTTCCTCCCCCCCTATATATATATATATATATATATATATATATATATATATATATATATATATATATACATATATATATACATATATATATATATATGTATATATCGTCTACACCTCATATAAAACTTGATGGAACTCCGATTTTCTGTAAATACAATAACAACTTATCACCGCCTTTGCAGCCCCTACCTCTCGAATGTAATCAGCTTTGAGCACATTATCTGACTCGTATAGGATAAGTTCCACTCGCTGGTCGTTGGGGAAGTTCTCTGCCTGCCAGTTCAGGGTCAACACATAGTCTGAGTCCTGTAATGTATAGGGAAATTTGATTTTATTAGATTTTTTATCTATATGTTTTATTTTTTGTGATGAG